CCAGATGGGCAACATAAGACTAGACAATCTCCTGAATTCTTGTTCTGCCACTCCCCAGATTCTGGCACACAGCAAACTACAGCTAGTTTGCCAAATCAGCAGATGATTTTAAATCACTGAAGAAAACATATTTGATCTAAATCTGCATCTGTTAACAAAATTCTTTAAAATTACTTAAAATAATTTTATAGGCAGATATGCCTAGAGGCAGGCGTGTGGAGTGTGTTTGCTTTCTTGGGTTTAGTTTGTGTATTTTTCCAGGAAGATTCCTTGCAATACCAACTGACAAACTGATACATTTAAATTCGCTGTGACACTGCAGTGAAAGAGAACTACTTCTTAATATCTAAGAGAGTATTGAAGATACCCTTATTTCCAAAACACCATGTTTCTTTTTGTCTAGCTAGTTATCTTCCAATCTTCCTATCTAATCCTGCAAAGGCCTGAATAATACAGAAATTAAAAATTCAATCTTCTTTCACCACCTGCAAGCAAGGAAAACCAGACCATCTTACTGTTTCACACTACACTAACTCCACAGGCACAAGCTGTTGCAAGCCCATTTCCTAAGCTTCCAAGAAAGCCTGATGTCCCAGGCATCCTCATCGTACACTTCAACCTTTCAAATCACTTAATTCTAGAAACCTGTAAAGCTAACTCTTCTGTCCATTTATATACACCATCATACACGGTACATGAACACCTTCCCCTTCTTCAAAGAGGAGGTAAAAATATTTCCTTGTCAGCCTTCCACATTGTCCTAGATGCAAAAAAGCTAAGGCTAGCATCCCAGAGCCATGAGGAAATTATTGTTCCCTAAAAGTTCCCTATTGTTCCCCTGAAAGGGACAGATTCAGGGGTAAAGAGTGGTGTTTTGGGGTTTTCTGGTGGGTGTTTTGTTTGGGTTTTTTTTGTTCCACCCCCTCCACTCCCCCTGTACAACTGTCAATACATAAATGACTTGGCTATAGAGGATTAAGAAATTTTAAATTTTCCTTCAGCTTCACAAATAAAACACTCATTTTTCTACCTAGGTCTTAGATTCTGGATGCTGCAACTGCATTGTGTAGTGTGGAGAAAAGGATGCTGAGGGGTGATCTTATCACTCTCTACAGCTCCCAGAAAGGAGGCCGTAGCGAGGTGGGAGTCTGTCTCTTCTCCCAGGTAACCAGCCATAGGACGCTGCCTCCCACAAGGGAAGGTTCAGGTTAGATATTAGGAAAAATTTCTTCTCTGAAAGAGTGCTCTGACACTGGAAGAGGCTGCCCAGGAAAATGGTGGAGTGACCATCCCTGGAGGTGTTCAAGAAATGCGTAGAGGTAGCACTCAGGGATATGGTTTAGTGGGCATGGTGGTGATGAGTTAATAGTTGGACTGAATGATCTTAGAGGTCTTTTCCAACCTTAATGATCCTGTGATTCTATTTAGGATGTAACCCAGTAGGACTGAGAGAAAAGGGCATCTCTTGATGCTTTCTACAATGTAGGATGTCATTTCCAGTATAGGAATGAAGTTTATTTATTGTATCATTTGTTCAAGTATCTTTGTGACTAGGATATCATTAAGCTTCCAGTGAAAGCTTTGAAGCTGAATCATACCTGGAAAGAAGCAATATAATACCTCTAATATTAAGGTAGCCTTGGGAATCAGGTTAAAATGCCATAAAAGGACAACTTATGTACTCAGTATTAAAAAAAACTAAAGAATTTATTGCCTATTGCCAAGGCTAAAGGCAGTTAAAACTAACTCTCTTCCACTCTTGCTGCACATATAGTAGCAGTTTGGTATTTCGACTACATCTATGCCATAACCTCTTCAGTAGCCATGAATAATATATTCAAGACTAAATGCTTGTACAGATAACCGTTGGAGGCTTGTACTCCATTGCTCAGCTCATTCCTTGAAACGTACATCACTTCACACCAAGACTAGATACAGTGACAGAGAAGGAGTCAAATGAAGACTACTAAACAAAAGCCGCACCCTGTCTGGCTCAAGAAGGCCCAATAACAGCAGCCTGGACACACACTGGGAGCATACAGGGAAACATGCATGTTCCTGGCTTTCTGTACTTCACTAAATCTTCCCTCGGCTTCTGCTTTTGGTCACTGTTGGAGACAGCACACTAGACTAGATGAATCCTTGTTCTGATTAAATATTTTAAAATATGCTTAAGTATCCACATTTGCACATCTACCATGTCTCTGTTACACAGTTTTATATATTGCATATATGAAGTGAGATACATTTAAATCTGCAATTAAAAAGGCAAAACCTTTTAGGAGCTATTAAAACATCACAAAGATCACTTTCTTGGACTAATACCTTTTATGTCACAAATCTTCTACCTTGAAGAAGGTCTGCAATTTTGATCCTTCATCTAAACATCAAATATTATTTGAACACACATATATATTTATGTACTTCTTCTTGGAAAGCTGGATGGTCTCCTGTGCAACAGGTCTCCCTCTGTAAGCCAGACTCCACAATTCATGAGGTAACTTGAACACATTTTAAAGCTGAAGTGTCATTCTTCATTTTTGTATCAGCTCTTTAGAAAATTACTTACTTGTCTTCCATCAATACATTCAATTATGTCTATGCCACAAACAGCTAAACTACCTTACATGAAAATCCTATTTCATGTATGCTGGTATTTGAAAACTAAAGTCTAACTACCTACACTTCTAAATTGCAACCTTGAAAACTAAATACATACTTGATCTGAAGGCATCTGCACTCCATGATTTAGCTCCATCCACGTCAGAAGACAACACTTATGGTATATTAATATTACAAGAGAAATACAAGGCCTATTACCTTCACTTGCCATAACCACAGGAACCTGAAAAACACACTCTATTTTAGAATTTGGCACCTCTCATCATCCTGCACTAAGATTGCTGACTAAACTCCAGTCATTTATTTTATTTTTTAAAATTAAGGGAAAACAACCCCTGTGCTTCCCACAAAGTCCACTGCTTCCGCACTGTATTCTGTCAATATCTAACAAAGAAAAAGGAGCAATTAAAGATTTTGATCAGTGCTGCTAGTCCTGGGAAACTATTAAACCCCCTCCTATTTACAGACACACATCAGAACAATTGTGGACAGTGGGAAACTGAGCAGTAAATTCTTACCAAGACAAAAGTAGACACAAGGGAAGAGAATAGGCTTGCAGCTGTCAAGAGAAAAATGTTCCGTGGTTGCAACAGTGGACAGGGAAACAGAAAGGGAAAGGCACTTAAGCCAAGAAAGTGAAGTCTCAAATGATACCAAATTTATTACAGAATAAACAGCAATATTTCTTACCTCACCCAACAGGGATCAAGAGGGATCCTGATCTGTTTTTTTGAGTTTTACAGAGCTTTCAGGAGTAGTGGGAGACAAGCTGTCCCAATTTAAAAAATCATGTGACCTCAGAACTATTTCTGATGTGCAACATTAGGCAGAGAAGCTATTAAACTGTGATAAGACTTAGAACAGGCACATGATAACAGCTGAAATAAGCTTGTGTCCTGTCATTTCTCTGAAAGGTGTTAAAAACAAAACAATCCATAGAAAACAGAGCTTCACATTTTACTGGGAGAGCATGTTGTTCAGCTACTGCATCCTTAAATTCTTTATATGCCTCAGAGGAACAAGTGCTCTTTCAGCAGCCTCTGAAGGCTTAGCTAAAGGTTACGCCATTTTGGACAGACAAGTAACTCTCTAGCTGGTAAGTGACCAGCTGCCCATTTACGTACATAAACTAAGGGGTTTGCCAGCACCAGAACTCAAATGCCCTTTTGCTGCTTTTAAGTCTTCTGCATTGAGAACTTGTGTTGGAAACAGTTAATCCTTTCAACAGTTCAGTCTAGGACAAAAAGATGATTCTTTCTCTGTTATGTGTCATTATGAAAGTTTAGGACCAGTGTTCTTTAAAGACTATTAATCCACTTGTACGAGGAACAGAGCAGTGACAGTCAGGTCAATTTATCACACTAAATGCTGCTTTCATTAGGCAGAAATAATGAAAGTAACAGTAAGTACGGACTGGGCTACAACGGACAATCAAGGAGAATGCCAACACCTCAACAACTGGAATATTTTCTTAATAAAGCTGAACTTACTAAACTCTGTGGAGTCACAATTAGCTAGCTGTCCAAATAAAGCAATGAATTTAACATTATAAAATCTTTGACATATTTATGTAATTCTTATTTTCAAATAAGATTTCAAGGAGAGGTCCTCTTACTTTGAATTAGTAAGACAAGACTATTATATCCTTATCAATTAGCAGGACTGAACTTTTATTTTCCTCTCAAATTAGCCAGTCTGATGACGATAAAAGTTATTTCAATTTCCTCACAGTTGCACACATCTGCCAGATTGCCAAAGCAGCACCATTAATAAAACCCCATATATAAAACTTGGCTGACAACATTTCATAATTTATAAAAGGCTGACTCACACAGAATGACAGATTTTTAACAAGTCAAACAAGTGAACCAGTCATTGTCCATAGACGCTTTCCCCATGCGACAGAGGTTACCATCCCCAGGGCAGGACAGCAAAGCAGTCAAGTCTTACTACAGTCTTCAGACAGCTCATTAAAATATCCTGAAAACAATTTTAATATGAAACAAAGCAAAACAACAGAATCCAGCAAAATTTTACAAATTCTTGTGCAAACTCTCTTCAGTATAGTGAAACATGAGGAAAGCCACTAAAAGCAATATATTTGAGAATATGTATTTTGAGAGAATATAAAATACTTTACAATATCAGTTTTCAGAAATTAATCTTGAAGTACAAACCAACCAATTTGAGAGATACAATTAATTATCACAATCAGACCATAAAAGAGCATTTTTTTAATGTTAAGCAATGATTTAGTGTAGTAATTTAAAATTTACTAGCTGTGTAGCTTCTAGAAATTGTACTTTCATTAGCGTCTCTGTATAGTCAATGATGATTTGCCTTTTAGTTACCCCAATATAGTAAGTGAAGTGACTTACCATTCTTGCTGACATCCAGTTCCCTGAGATTAATGAGATTTGCAATGGATGCTGGCAATGTGGTTAGATCATTGTCTGGCAAACTCAGCTTGTGCAGAGACTGACAGTTAAAAAGTTGCTATTGAAACAAAGAAAAAAGTGAATGTGACTTTCTCTTAGTTTGCTCTATATAGCTTTTGTTTTTAATCCCTTTAAACTTCTGACCTCACAGCTTGAAGGCCAGACTATTTAGCAACTTTGACTAGAAAAATTTTATTTAACTAATTTTATTCAAAATTAACTAAGTTTGCAATGCTTAGGAAAGCAAAAAACTGCACACAGTCACAACAAGACAGCAGCTATGCTTAACACTTCCTACCAATTCCTTCTAGTATCTCAGAAATTGTGACCTGTAATTACACAGTCCTGCAAACATTGCGAAATATTTTCCGCAATATACCAGATACCCCAGAAGCAATTACAATTTCTCAAAAAAAACCCAAACAAAAAACCCCAACGAACCAAACAAAAAAAAACACAAAACCCCAACAAACAAACAAACAAAAAAGCCACAACCAAAAAAGACAGATGGCTTTTTTAAAGTCAGATAGTTCTGGAACACAGGATTAGAATAGGTATTGATCTTCTCTAAAAGTTTAAATTTTATTCTGTTATACCTTACAATATTTTTTCCCCTTCTATGCTTCCTAGCTCAAGTACGCAAAAATCCAGCAATATTATGATGAAAATCAGTGAAAGTTTGATCTAAGGATATAGAAACTCTTATGCATACATGAATTCTAATTTGTATCAAATATTAGTGTAGAGACAGATCTCTTCATACATAAAATGCAAGGTACCTTGAGATTCCTACAAGCTGACAAAATAGGGCAAGTAATATTAGTGTAATGGAAGAAAAACCCTCAAATACCTAGGAAGCAGACATATAGTACAAAATAAATATCTGTAAGAAAGTGGTTGAAATGGTTCATCTGAAAAATTTATGATGAATATTCATTTCCCAACAATTTTGGATAAGGTAATTCATAAATACCAGGACTTCGTGTTCTTTTCTTTAGGAATTCTAAGAAAATATTATACAAAACCAAGAGGTCTTCTATGACGAAAAAAATGATTCCAATCAACATCATAGCAACGGCCTCTAGTTCAACAAAATTTCTTGGGTCCCTCTCAATTAAGAGGCTGCTATTTCAACCACAGATTGGTGAACAAACCCCATTCACGTGACATTTGTATATACCAGCCCAGAACAAAAGCAGATACAAATTAGCAAGATGGACTGTTCAAGGAATGAGCTTTAACATCCCTACTGACTATTCATGCACCTTTTAGAACTAGTCAGTATCATTATGGCTTTGAGGAGTTACAAGTTACTTAATATAGTGGAAACAGAACTTTGATGAGCTCAGGTGTTCTGGAGCCATTCCTTTATTTCAGTACTTCAAGCAAGAATATATACTTAAAACTCATCTCTGAAAACAATATCTGGACTCTTTGAATCATTAGAAATGTCACCGATTATTCAGGTGAAAGCAAATGCAGCACAAGGAATTGCAAGATCCCTAAAGAAAAATGGGAGGGAGGCGAGTTTTGTATGGGGTTGATTTTGTAGTTGTTCCTTTTGTTGTTTTTCTTTTTTAATGTTTGCATATTCAGTGATTAAGCAGATCACCATTACTGTTAATAAGCACTAGAAGTCATACAATTAAGGACTACTTTACTGCAGAATTCCAATTTCTCCCCAACAGCAGACTGAGAGGGAAAACTAAAACTGCTACAATTTGAGCTTTTCAGCTCAAATGTACATTATGGCCAAAATAATGACCAAATTACTTAAAAGCTGAAAAGAATGCTTAACTTTTCAAAAATAAGCCTATAAGGATGACTTATTATAATGTACAAACACATTAATACGAAGCAAGCATAGGCTGTTACAGGTACCTGCAGTTCACCAAAGAAAAGCTAAAAGAAACAAAACATAAATGTTCAGTCTTTCTAATCGCACAGATAATTTAAACTTAGACTAGACCAAGGCAAATGGTAGACTGCTCACCTTGCAGTTTACTCACATATCAAAACTGGACTTCATATAGGAACTGACTAATGACATCAAATGTCATGTAACAGAAAAGGAAGACAAAACAGTCTAACTGCTCCTACTGGTCTAAAATGCCAACATTCATCCATTTGATCACTACAGTACAATCTTCCTTCCTCTTTCAAGATTACTAAAAGGAATTTTTTAGAGAACTATGAGTTTGGAAAATGTTTATTTAGTTCTTACAATTCTGGAAACAGGAATTTAACACAAGAAGAGTTCAGAATTTTTCCTCTTTTTTGGCTAAGAAAGGTATTTTGTTCTGTTTTTTAGGCATTCAATTTTATTCTTCTCCAATAAAGAATGAGAGACAGGAATGAAGTTGTGAAATCATGTGAAAAAAACCTCAAAGGTGGATACACAGTCCTTCAAAGAAAGCTACTAAAACTTAAAGTTACTAACCCTAGAGTAAAGAAATATCTGCTTGGGAAGAGACAAGACAAAAAAAAGTGGTAATTCTAAACTGTGACAGACTTTGACAAAATGTCTAGTATTTACTTGTATGTTACCAGCTCTATTCAATGTACAAATACAGATTTTCATTGATGGTTTCTCAGGAGCATTTAAGGTTGGATTTTTCAAAAGCACTCAGCTGGTTTAAGTTAGCTTTACTGGAATCCAGAACTTCTGATAACTGCCAAGTTACTATCCTGAAATTGTTTAATTTCCTTATTTCTTTCATTTATCTTTAAAAAAAATCCAAACCAGCAAAATCTGAAGTGGTTATAGTAGATTTTTTTTGAAAGTTTGCTAAGTATCCTATAGTCATCCTGTGTGACAGCAAAGATTTGCATACAACTGTGACAAAAGATTTTAAATATTAAGTCTTTCATCTAACTACTAAGTTTTAAATTCCACCACGAGAAAACCTAGTACGGGAAACAAGTCTATTGCAATTATAATTTTTCACTTCTCAAAAGTCTCATTTGCAAAAATTTTCACTCCTTTATCCTGTAGTATACTGCTATTTCAGCTTGCAGTTTGTCTTCAGAATTCAGAAGAAACAACAAATATTAATTTCTATAATAATGATGTAATCAAAGTGCCATTCCAGCTCTCTAGTTTTTGAACTTAAGTAGTCTTGAGATACTTCAGAAATTCTCTTCTAGTCACACGCCAAGGAAGAAAGCAGGAGGACTTAAAGAGAACAGATACTTTGGATTGTAGCTATCTTTTGCGGGCAGAGATCTGAACAAGCCATTAATCTTGCTTCTTCCAATCTTCATATGTTATCAGAGATTCAAAACAATGCCACAATTTGTTGAACACAGTTAGTCACTATGAGCAGACACTGCCACAGAAATAAATTAGCCAGCCTCTTCTGCTATGTACCTCTCTTGGGCTGGATCAGTTGCTTAAGCAGTTTCATCCCAATTCATGCAGCAAACTAGTCAAGCTGGAACACATAAATATTCCTTCTACCAGGGCTGCTTCTTGTGGGACCAATATTTACATAAAAATATTTGGCAAACTGCAGCCTAAAAGCTGAAGTGGGAAGCTAGACACTATCAGCTTCTACAATGCTATGAAGTAACAAAGTTAATAAATTTAGCTAAAAGGAAAACCACCCAACATACCTTTGGAAGCTCTTCAATCTGATTAGCATCTAAATAGAGTTCTTCCAAGGTCTTTTCAAAAGTAAAAATCTCCTTAGGCACCTGTTCCAGGCTGCAGTGAGAATAGTCAAGCGTAGTGACTGTTTCCTCCTCTCCACGCAGACAGCGGCATGGCACCAGCCGCACAAACAAATTTCGCTTTGTGGTCATCTTCAGGCACTGTAAAACACAAATTATTTGATTTAAAAACCAGGACAACTTCAGAAATACTCATGTGCACAGCTTCTCAAACTTCCACTGGCTGCTAAATACTTGTCAAAGAAAGAAGTGCATACATATGTGTGTGAATACACATATATGAGAGAGAGGGGGAAGAGAGAATATTTCTTTTATTTTAAAACACAATAGATCAGTAGTGGCATTAAATGGGATTAAAGCAGATCCCAGAAGATGGAAGTCAACATTTAGCCTGTAACTTGTCACCTGCTAACACAGTCCTACATTGCAGAGAAGCAGAGAATTTTGAAGCAGCAGTTCTGAAGCGTCAACTGTTTTTTTAATAACAGAGCTCATCCCTACCTTTAAAAAGGTTACTGGGATGACTATATTTTCACTTAATACAATAAAATCCACTCTCTAAGGATTCTTAATATGTAGCTATAGGAAAGTTGGGGGTTTTTTAATTAATAAGATTCAATTCCTGTACCTTAATTCCAAATCCCTCATTTAAACACAGAATACAACAAAAAAACCCCAGTGTGGTTTCTACCAACTATTTTGTTTTAAAAGGAAAGAAGTGACAACTTTTTGTAACTCCATTCAGTTTGGAAAACTTCAACACATCTTGTTGTGCACACTGGAACTAAGGAAACTTTACCTTGCTATGGAAATGTATCCTTCTTTCTTTAAACTCAGTCACTGCTACAGTAGTCTCCTCTCCTTTCCATGGCTTCTACAATATTCTTACTCAGTAGGAGAGAGCAAATCTAAAAGGTGTAAAATTACTAGCTGATTACTGACAGCATACACCAGCCATGTTCTGCCTCGTTGCTCCTCAACACAAGCACAAGTTTAGGTCTCTTTCCTCTAATTCGCAATGACTTTTCACCACATTCAGAAAAAATAATCTTCAAAATGTCACCTCAAGTTTCAGGTTTGGCTGAAATCAGATGACAGACTCAACCATTTTTCAGAAAGGACCAATGTGTGTAGATGAACAACATGACCATGTAAGCTTCATTTCCTCAGGAAATTGGTCTAAAAATGCATACTTTTCCAAACCAGCACTGAGTATTTATTTTCTCAAATTGCCAATGCTCCAAATTAAA